CCATAAAGATTGAACACATTTTTTATTTAATCATGAACAGGTGTGTCTCACAAATATTAGACATGTTTTAAAGAAAAGGTTGTACCTTATCAAGAATGGATAATCACTCAAAGTAAAACCAACGTGCACAAGAATACACGTTTAGTGCATGACTACTCTGTCATTTGCATTTGATAATGATATATCATATTAGTACTTCCATGTCTTTCTTGGAGCTAGGGTCTGTTTAATTAACTGGCTAAAAAGGGGTAAAATGGATGGGTTATGGACGATTATGATTTAAGCAATCTATTTTCAAGGATTAATCATGTTATGGAAACCATCAAACCAATTGTCAAGGATTAGTCAAATCATGGAGATATATAGAGTAACATTAAATATGCAAACGATAACACTTGCAATGTATTGTTATAACGTTCCCCTTTAACAATCAGTAATAAAAGTGATGATATTTATATTGTAGATATCTTATTTTTTACTACTATAATTAACAAAGGGACAGAGAAATCCAATTGAAAGCTGCAGCCACACAAGATTACCAGATTGTACTCTTAAAATTATAACTGCAATTTGAATTGTATCCTTTGGCAAGTTGTCCTGCGAGAACAACGCATGTCTTATTTAACTAGGCACAAGTATTGATATAAAGATTAATGTTGATCTTAAATAGGTATAATTCTTAAATTAATGTAAAGACAAATTGACCCGTAAACAGTAAATGAGCACAACTTTTGCTTATTCAATATAAGTCATGAATTCCTTATTAAATAAAAATTAACAAGTTTTCATGCATTTGGCTTCATTCTTTTTGGTGGGATCACAATGTATTACTGCATTATTTAGCAATCTTACCAGTTTTTGGTTGTATTAAGTTGTTCTTGCATAAGAAGTAGGCATCTTTCCTATTACGGAACTGTACGAATGTGTGGTTGGCCAAATGGGGAAGTTTCTTTTCCTTTTTTTGGCTTTATGCATTTAGTATATGGAATCTAGGGGTGTACAAATGAAACTGACAAACCGCACCAACCTTATAATCTGAGTCAAATCGAGAAAAAAAATCCGACTATGGTTTTGTTTGATTTGATTTGGTGTTGGGAAAAAAACCCGACCATATTTGGTTTGGTTTTAGCTAAAAAAATATCAAATCGAAACCAAACCAACCCGACATTATATGTATAGAAGTTTTAAATATATTTAATTCATAAAAATATTTATGGTAGTGTAGTGTATAAATATTTTTTAAGCTTTTTCATAGTTTTATCTTTTAACGTATTATTTCAAGCTTGTGCTTATAATTTTTGGATGCTCCAATAAGTTTTATAATCCATAAATGTTAGTAACTCAAATAAATCCTAAACCAAAATCAAATCAATACTAATGCTAATAAAAGACATTCAATTTAATTATACTATGAATGAAAATAGTATTGGATATCTATTTTTTTAGTTTTTTCATGGTTTAGATAAAATGTATAACTTATTTTTCTTTTAGTGGTTAGTCATGTAAATAATAGTACTTATAAGGCATAATTTTAAATTATGTTTGTTTTCATTATGGCTTATTAATAATATTTATTTTACACGATTTTATTATCTTTATTGTTGAATATTTTAGTACAATGCCATGAATCATCTCATATTTATATTATTTTATTGAAAACAACTTATATAGTTCTGTCTTATTAGGATTAAAGAAATATTTGAAGCACAAATTTTACGTTTTGTGCTATGAAAACTTTATAAAAAATAACCCCGAAAATCCGAAAATTTTGAGATTAAAAAATCCGACTTTTATTGGTTTGGTTTGGTATTTAGATTTAATAACCCGATACAATTGGTTTGATTTGGTAATTAGAAAGTCTGAACCAACCCGACCCATGTATATCCCTATTGAAATCTATTGGTCTGAGTAATTTGAATTTGCAATACAATACTTATAGCAAGTGATGTCTCGGTTAGGAGTTCTTTCATTTCTAAAGTTCGAATTCGAGATCTTTGATTAAGAGTTAAAGGGATCGCATTCATCTCACTACATTTGCTATTTAGTGAGACACATGAGGAAAAAGGGGTGTATTGGATTGAAAAATTAGAAAAGTAGGGGCAAAAAAGGAAGGGGAAGGGAGCTTATGGTTTGTTGAAGTAAAAGGAGAATCTATACAACATAGAGAAGAATACGAAAAGTTAGAAAAGAACACCAAAGTTTTTAACACTTTAGTCTTTAAAATAATAGGAGAAACAGAGATTGTGGATCAAGCACAAAGCATGCATGAAAAGTTAAAGATTTTCGATAAAGAACCCCACCATCCTATCATGTGCTTCCTTAAGAATAATTCCAACACCGCTTACTTAGTAGTAGATTGGATTTTACCGATCACATTTTCTAACATAGGCCATCTATAGCATGTGTGTAACATGGGCGTGTGAATTGATCACTACGAAATAATCTTGCTACACTTATAGGTAGAGCAGACAGCAAAATACATGCATATTATATCCTGCTATATTCTGTCTAGAATTTGTATATGGTTTGCTATATGATAATGTATTCTATACAATTGTTGGGCAAAAAAGAAAAAAGAAAAAATACATGAATCATTTAAATTTCAGTGTATACATGTGTTAACACGTCAGTCTAGTGTGTGTTCTTGTGCATTTGTGGAGGGTATTTCTCGGCTGGCTATACTATTTCCCTCTTATTCTTAATTTTTATTAAAATAAAGTTTTGCAGCATTATTGTGTTAAATTAAGTAATTTTTTGTTTATGTTACAAGATTTGATCTCATTGAAGAATGCCCTTTTTCAACTACCAAATTCTTCTTGCAAATTTATATCATAGTCTGAAAAAGTTACATCATTTTGACAATCTTTTTTTTTTTTATAATTTCTTTTGTTATTTAAAGGACGGCTAAGATTTATAAGTGGAACAATTCCAGAAATACTATAAGTTACTTTTTAGCTAGCGTTTGGTCATAGATTCTCAAATTTGTTTTAAAAAATCTTTCAAAACATATTTTACTTTTTTTTTATTGAGAAAACATGAAACGTGACTTATACCCATAAGTTCTAAAAACTATCAAAAATACCCAATAATACCCAATAATAAACTTACTAAACTTGTATATGCATCGATCACATTTATTATCATGACCACAAACTAGGCCACAATCCCGAACAAGTTTGGCACAAAATTATCGTTTTTATAATGAATTACATAATACACTATCCTAAAATCATAACCTGATATTTAAATATCAACTGCTATAACACAATTAGTAGCTACTACAATTCGTCAAATTACAATAATATTACAAAATCCATCGGTCCCAAAAAAATGATAGTAACTAGCTGGTGGATTAGTTAGGTCATAATAGATGGTGGTTTTTTTTATAAAATACAAAAAGTTTAGTATAATTTTTGAAATTGTTAAGAAACCCAATAGTAATATTTTGAACCAAAAACAGGTCTTGAGCTGATTTTGGGATTTGAAAATTTTGTTTTCAAAAATTGTCAAAATATGGATAAATCGATAAACAAACAGGTTTTGCCAAAACAAAATTGAAAAAAACTTGCCAAAATCTATGACCAAACGGGCCTAGTCTTCTTGAATCTTGACTTGAGAATAATTATTCAAATCAAAGATACTATTATTATTTTACTAAATAGCAATTGCGAGTTCTGAGTGATGATGGTGTCGTGAAAAACAAGTGAGGTTTTTATAATTGCAATTCAAAGCACAATAATGAATCTTTCATATTTATCACCCACCAGAGAACATGCATTATGATCTAACAAAAGACTTCCACTCTTTATTGTTACTCTTTTGATTCTGTAAAGATATTTTATTTTAGCTGATATTGTATGGTACAATTTATAGCTTTTGATATGTCCACATTTCAAACTATACAATAAAAAAAATGTGAAATAAGATGGTCTGGCAAAAGGATTATCCCATTAAAGTCAAAAATTTGTAGTTTAATACTAGTGAAGTTGCTGCTATGTCGTTCAATTTCTACCTAATTCTTACCCTCCCTCCAACTCATATCTGAACCTCTGGCGTTCTAAAAAGAAAGTCAAAGATATTACTGTTACAATTAATAAGCAAAGTATTCAAAGTACATTAAATTATTATTTTTGTAGGATAGCCTAGTCGGCGGAATGGCGGACTGATCACTTATTGATCTTGATTTGATTTGCACATATCAACAATTTTACAAAAGGTTTTGTGGGTCTTTGCAAACGTGCTTTTAGTTCTATGACTCTCTATATATATATATATATATGAGCTTTACTCTTACACAAATTTATTTTTTACACAAGAAATCTAAAAATGAGTCTTTCTTAATTTTAACATTGTAAATGGGCATGAAGTTCATTTCCTCGTTTGTAAAAAGACATACTCACAAAAATTTACTCACATTTGACTTCCAAATAGTTGAGTGCGATAAAAGGAAACTGACATTTTCACTTTGTTTTTTAATTTTTGGAAAAGGCTGATCCAGTGAAGCAGCTCTAAAGAATGCAGAGTCCCAAGAATCTATTATTGAGATTTGTGAACAAAAGGATAGCATTTGGTACTCTTCCTTTTCCATAAAAGTTCATTACTTAGTAAGTTGTTCTTTAATTTGAAACCAAAAAGCATAACTTTATACTCCATTGCTTTGTAATTAGAGATCCTTGATCATGAGAAGCTTTTTTTTTTTTTTTTTTTTTTTTTTTTTTTTTTTTTTTTTTTTTTTGCCAAAAGCGGTCAAACAAATTTATAGCTTTTCTTAAACAGACCAGAAACAAAGATACAAAAGAAATATTTCTGGCGTTTAAATCATACTAATAAACACAAGACATGTGTCTCTCATATAGTATATATTTATCACTTAAACCATTAATTTCACTTTAATTTTAAAGTGCTAATATTAAATTGTATGATTTGGTGTGAACACCGGATGATCCAGCGAAAATAGTATGATACACATAAACTCTTGAAAGGAAAACAGAAGTGCAAAATTGGAAAAAAATCATCTTCGTTGATGTGCATGTAGATTGAAAGGGTGTGTATATACAAGTTACAATTGTGGTCAACTAAACGTTAAGGCATTAAACTCAACCTCCAGCGGGCACTTTGCCAGCCAGGGTGGCTTTGGAATATTCATTCATACTTTGCATACTAGTAGTAAATTTACATTTACCAAACTTTAATGCGCCAGTAAAGACTTAGTAGTAATTGTTAGTATCGCAAAATTTTCCATGCATCTGGTTTTGAACTGCTTTAATAGCAGCAACTCTGGCAGCAGTGGCAGCTCTGTTTGCTGCCATCACTGCCTTGTTCACTTGACCATCCACCCTACGTATGTTAATTGCATTCTCTGCTGCCTTTCTAGCTGCCTGCAACAATAACCAGAGAGCACATGAGAAAAATCAGAAAGAAGATAACAAGTCAATGTTTGAGCAGTTGCATAACTAGAGAGACTTAACTGCAAGGAGGAGGAGGGTGAGGGCATTAAATGAGAAATCAAAAACAACTCCTACAATTAAACACTCTATAAAAGCCTCATTTGATCCGATATTTTTTGGCTGTCATAGTGAAGTGTCGTTATAGAGGATACATATTATAACATAAACATAAAAATCGGTTCCGAAAAAACTTGGCTTTTATAGTGAATGGTTATTGTATAAGTATGTTGTTATAGAGAGTTCTGACTATACACGTTTCAATCACAAACAAATTGGGATCGGCTATATGAATCCTCAATGAGCGTCTTAGACCAGAACATAAATTTTACCTGAACGGCTCGGAGGACGGCATCAGTAAGTTGGGGCAATGGAGTATTGAGATTCCCAGAGGCCCACTCTCCACACCTTGAATCACCATTTCTAAAAGTGTACATTCCGTAACCTTGCTTACGACCTTCATGCCATGACCCTTCATAGCAATGCCCATTGGCAAAGTGATACACACCAAAACCATGAATCTTGTCTCCAAAATATTCCCCCGCATATCGATCCCCATTCCTGCACCAAATTAGTGATACACAGCTCATAGTCAATCCCAAATGAAGAAAGAGATTGCCAAAAAAATTATTTTAGCAGCAGCTGTCCAAGTTGCTTATGACCTACTCCCACTAAAGAATAATACTAAAACAATCAAGAACCAGACAGTGACAAGAACTTCACTCTAAATGGAAAGAATTGTTAGAAAAAATCCAAATATACATAATTAGTCCGGACTTGATTTTGATGCTAATAAATTCACAAAATGCCATCAGACAGTAAAATTGGAAGCATTCCATTTGCTAAAGAACTCCGTCGCTAATCCATCATTATGCAAGAAGAAACCACAGTCCAAAAAGAAAAGTTAATATAACATCTACAAGAATGCAACCAAGCTTGAGCTACATATCACAAGAATTATCATCTATCCTATCTGTAAATCTCACAATTAAAAAGGAATCTGACAAAATGAACTATACCTTATCACAAACAAATAAAGATTCCAGTCATATAACAACTGGAAATTTCCAGATCTGAAGAAAACTACTCCATAGCAAACAAAGTCCAAATAAAGAAAAGAGTTTTTATGCACTGCAAAAAACAATTTACATAATCACATCAATTATTAGGTACATTACATGTAGTTAACTCTCTTGATAATCTGTGGTAATTAACCTTTAAACTTTACACCGTCAATGTATAAAATTTAAAATACAGAAAGAAATCACAGTAATTATTACCTGAAATGGTAACAGCCAAGGCCGTGTTTAACACCGCGTTTAAATTCACCGATGTAACAGCTCCCATCGGAGCAACTCTGAACTCCAATTCCATGACTCTGCCCATTACACCATTCCCCAGCATAAGTATCTCCAGTATAGAATTTATACACACCATAGCCATGCCTCAATCCTTGCCTATACTGCCCTCTATATTTGCTACCTCTAGCCCAGCCCTCTATCCCATACCCATCATACCTCCCATCTATCCACTCTCCTTCATATCTCCCTTTCACAAAAAAAGTGTAGACACCACTCCCGTTGCACTTCCCCTTATGAAATTCCCCCTCATACATGTCACCATTGCTGTAAACTTCCACTCCTTCTCTCACTATTTGCTTCTCTTTCCCATCTACTTTTCGCTCGCCAATGAACCATTGCACTTTACTCTTATTATTACTACTAGATATTAAACCGAGTTTCTTCCCGTACTCATTACACATGGTTTTCAAACCGTTAAAACATTGATGAATTGTACTCTTGTTTTTTCCGGCGAAGAACAGCAAAACGGCAATGAAAATCAGTGCGATGAGGAGATTTTCCGACGTGGACATGCCGTCCCTGTTGAAGAAATAGAACAGTGTGTATATAGAGAGCAAGGAAATTGTTATAACAGGAGCTGCCCTGGCCGGACCGGAAGATGAAACCGGTCGAACCGGTATGGAGCCGGTTTTGTGGGGCTTCTGTTCTTCAATGTCCGGTTCATCATCAGATATGCTGTGGAGGGACGAGGACCGGAGAGTAGGAGACGACCGGAGAAGTGAAGACTTAGTCCTCGTCAGCTTCGACTGACTTTTCTGAGCCTCCATTCTTAGTGGGTCCCGATGATTATCTGTAATCTCGCTCAGCCGTTGGATCTTCAATGTTCCATCCTGTATCTTGATATACTTCTTATAACGAACTCGAATAACTGCTTCATCTCTCAGGGGCGGTGGGCGCAGGTTAAGCAGTTCCAAGTGCGCAGGTTAAGCAGGTTTTTTTTAAGTAGAAAAACGAGAAACAGAGAGAGCGTCTGCCTCTAGAGAGAGAGAGAGAGAGAGAGAGTGTGTGTAATTAGAGAGGGAAGAATAGCGAGGGGTGAAAGTGGAGCGGGTTTTATGTGAATTGTGGAGCCACCTTGATTTAATTTCAGCCGTAGATCTATATTCCAACGGCTAGATTTAGAGGAAAATATTTCTAGGCGCTCGTGGTTTTCTTTGTACAGTTCCCGATTTTGACGGAAAGATTTGGTCGTGGCATTGGCATCTAGTTTTCTTACTTTATTTTGTACGTGCCATATTACCAAAGTACTTAAATATCTTTGCTTTTCTAGTTTTAAGACATTCCTCCCGATCTAAATGATAATTACACAGTTAGTTTGCAAAAGAAAAATAAAAGTTATATACTTATACTTCTGTTATTTTAGCTTTTTCTTAACTAAACTAGTTTAAAGGATAAAAGTTTTATAAGAGTATGTTTTAAGTTTACTCTTTTGTAGGACTTACATTCACTAAAAGGAGAAGAAGTGGAAGATGCTACTATATTGCAATACCTGACTGAAGTTTCACATCTAAATAGCAGTAACAACAAACAATTTACAAGAATGAAACAAATGAAATTGACAATGTATGATGGCAATGGAATTGCTGTTAATATATGAGCCACGTGTTACCCTGTTTCAATTTGGAATAAAATATTTTCAAACTTGTTGAATTTTCAGCCCCTTCTTAAAGGAGACATCTTCTAATTTTATTTTTTATTTTATGGGCGAGAAACCTTAAGATTGTGTAAATATTAAATAAACATTAATCTAGTGTGAAATGACATTATTCCTTTCTTTTTCTTCTTTCATTAGGGAGAAAAGGAGTAACGAAGGCAACAATAAATAGCTGCCAAGAATTGATTAATTAGTCAAGCCAAAACTTTGACCTATTTAAAAGAGCGACTTAACCTCGATTCATTCACACAACGAGAGTTCACTCCAAACATCAAATAAAGCAAGAAATGAAAAAGAAAAAAGATCTTTACTACAACTACTGCAAAGCGCTGCTCCAATCGGCTCAACTAATGCACGTATTTTGTATCATCATAAGGTCCATAGTATGAATTATTATCTGAGAAAATGTAAAAAAAAAGTAAGAGTAATGTGACACCTCAAAGCAGAAAACACGATCAGTGGCGGCTCTAAGACTAGGCTCCTGAGGTCATTGTAAAAATAGTACGGACTAACCAGTTTTCGGACTGATAATTTAAAAATAGTCACTGTTTGTAAAGTCATTAAAAAATAGACACTATTTTGCTGCAACACGGATCGGTCCAGCATAATATACTGGAGATTAGTGCACCTGTATATGAACTTCTAGCATATTATGTTGGAACTCCAACACGCGAAAAATTCCAGCATAATATACTGGAGATTGGAGCATCTTTGTATGAACTTCCAGCATACTATGTTGGACCGGTATATTATACTGGAACTCCAGTTTATTATGCTGGAATATTTTTCGGATTTTGACCAGTGTTTTCGTTCATATTTATCTTTACATGAAAAGTGGCTAAATTTCTATTACTTTTAAAAATGTGGCTATTTTTCAATTACCACTTGTAAATCTAACTATTTTTGAATTTCTCCCGAGGTCATTGCCTTAGGCCTATTTGAAGGCCCTAAATTTACTATAAACTCTTATTATTATTATTATTATTATTATTATAAATAAAAGTGTTACTATATATTCTTTTGTTATTGGATTGAGGTTGTTTTACACCAATAAGTTCCTAAATTATGATAATTTTCTTTACTCATTGATCATTATATTTGCTTTACTATTCAATTTTAGTTTTATCCTTTTTATATAGTAGAAATTAAGTTATATACATTGACAACATAATAATTTTCTTTTACAATTTTGTCATGAACACAAAAGCATTAATGCACCAGTTTCTTTTTAGTGTAATTCAACATATTATATTGGATTATTTATAATTTAGTTTAGATATTCACCAATGATGCTACTTAATAAAACGAGCAATAATTATCGTTTAAATTGATCAGAAGATGTAAATATTTGAATTAAACTATTATTAAAAGTCCCATAAGATCGTATTCAATCATCCAGTTACAAACAACCTTACCCTAATTTCAAGGGGTCCATCCCAACTCCATTTGCATAAGATAGTAGCCACCGGTTTTTCTCTCTGCTTAAGAAGAAAAGCAATTTTGCATGGACTCTGAAATATTTTGGAAGAACTAAAACGGTATTTATCGATCCTGCCGTTGCTTCATACCCCGAAGGTAGACGAACATCTTTATCTATATTTAGTTGTCTCGGAGATAGCGATAAGTGGAATCTTGATTCGAGAAGAACGAGGTACGCAATTTCCTATTTATTATGTCAGTCGAACTTTAAGCGAGGTCGAAACTAGGTATCCACACTTAGAAAAATTAGCGCTTGCTTTAATAAGCGCCTATAGGAAACTAAAACTATATTTTCAGTGTCATCCGATACATGTTGTAACAACTTATCCTCTTCGAAATATTTTGCACAAACCCGAGCTTTCAGGTCGATTGGCCAAATAGGCCATAGAAATCGGTGGGTACGACATCGAGTATCGACCCTGAACCGCTATCAAATCTCAAATCTTAGCGGACTTCGTCGCTGACTTTACGTTGGCCTTCGCACTCGAGATTGAAAAGGAATTACTGATTAAATTGGGTACCTATTTAGGAGTCTGGATCCTCTTTACGGACGGTGCCTCGAACGCAAAGGGATCCGGACTGGGAATAGTACTAAAATCACTCGTAGGTAATGTAGTTAGACAGTCTATCAGAACTACAAAATTGACTAACAATGAGGCTGAGTATGAGGCCGTGATTGCAGGTCTCGAACTAGCTAGAAGCTTGGGAGCTGAGGTCGTAGAAGCCAAGTGTGATTCCATCCTAGTGGTAAACTAAGCTAATGGGACTTTTGAAGTTCGAGAAGATCGAATGCAGAGGTACTTGGATAAACTACAGGTGACTCTACATCGATTTAAGGAATGGACTTTGCAACATGTACCCTGAGAACAGAACAACGAGGTCGACGCTCTTATAAACTTAGGCTCATCGATCGAAGATGACGAACTCAACTCGGGGACTGTCGTATAACTCATAAGGTCGGTGATTGAAGAAGGACACGCCGAAATAAACTCCACAAGTTTAACCTGGGATTGGAGAAACAAATATATAGAGTACTTCAAAAATGAGAAGTTGTTATCATATCCAAAAGAATCGAGGGCTCTGCGTACAAAAGCAGCACAGTTCACCTTGTCCAAAGACGGAACGCTATTTAGGAGGGCATTCGATGGACCACTGGAAATATGTTTAGGACTAAGAGATACCGACTACATCCTACGTGAGATTCACGAGGGCACTTGTGGGAATCATTCTGGTGCCGATTCGTTGGTCAAAAAATAATCAGAGCAGGATATTATTGGATCGATATGGACAAGGATGCGAGGGAGTTCGTTCGAAAATGCGACAAGTGCCAAAGGCATGCGCCTATGATTCATCAACCCGGGGAACTTCTCCACTCGGTTCTATCTCCATGGCCTTTCATGAAATGGGGGATAGACATCGTTGGCCCTCTTCCATCGGCCCCAAGTAAGCCTCAGTGTATTTTTATTTATGACTGATTATTTCTCTAAATGAGTTGAAGCACAGGTTTTCGAGAAAGTCATAGAAAAAGAAGTGATAGACTTCGTTTGGGACCACATCATATGTCGATTCGAGATGCCATCCGAGATTGTATGTAATAATGGAAAACAATTCATCGGCAGCAAAGTAACTAAATTTCTCGAGGACCACAAAATTAAAAGGATTCTATCAACACCTTATCATCCCAGCGAGAACGGACCGGCTGAATAGACCAACAAAACCATCATCCAAAATCTTAAGAAAAGATTAACCGACTCTAAAGGAATATGGAGAGAAATACTTTCTGAAGTCATATGGGCATACCATACAACATCGAAATCTTGTACCGGAGCAACACCATTCTCGTTGGTTTATGGCGCCGAAGCTCTTATCCCGGTTGAGGTCGGAAAGCCTAGCATCAGGTTTTGATATGCGACAAATGAGTTAAATAACGAGACCATGAACACGAGCCTAGAATTATTGGACGAAAAACGAGAAGTCACTCTCGTCCGATTAGCTGCCCAAAAACAGTGGATCGAAAGGTACTATAATCGAAGAACCAATCTTCGATATTTTAAAATCAGGGACTTGGTGCTAAGAAAAGTCATCCTCAACACCCGAAATCCGAATGAAGAGAAATTGGATCCGAATTGGGAAGGACCGTATCAGGTTCTCGAAATCATCGGAAAAGGATCCTACAAGGTCAGCATGATAAATGGCAATCAACTACCAAGCAATTGGAACGTGTCACACCTAAAACGATACTACTGCTAAGGTACGACCCTCCCATGTTCATTTATATTTCAAAACTAACCCTTGCAGGTGTTCGACCATAAACATGGATGGATTATTCAACTCGAAGCCTTTAGGACTGAAAGCAAGCGTTACACTTTTTTTCCCTTAGACCGGTTTTGTCCCAAATGGATTTTTCAGCAAGGTTTTTAATGATACAACCATTGATCGTGCTAACTTAGAACAATTCAACAGTATCCGAGGCCTCCTTACAATCAACCTCGAACGCTGGGGGCATTGCCCTCGAATAAGTCAAGTTCGATGCAAGAAAGTTACTTCATGTCAAACAGGGTCTCGATAGGAAAAAATATAAGGGCCAAATGGTCAAACGAACCATGCCCGTGTAGTTTGCTCGAGCCCTGGCACAAAACATGAACACATGTATAATGACTTATTAAGAGAAATTTCTTCTTTACCGATATCTCATACCTCAGAAAGATCTTCCTACTTCATGTTCAAACAGGTTTAAGGGCCGACCATGACCAAAGTTTGAAAAATTACACCATAAATCGGGGACTGCCAACTAAAAAATCAACGAGATCAAGCTCCATACGGCCCACATTACTTCGAGTTCGAGTAGACGCTTACTCGACTATTAAGCCTGAGGGCTACTCATTACTTCGAGTTCGAGCAAA